ACAGGACAGAATCGCACCTCCACTGCTCCTACCTGGCGGCTGGATTCCAGCCTCCCACACACTCAAACAAAGGCAGGAGCTACCAGTGAGCCAACAGAAACCAGCCCAACCAGCTCAAGGCCCTCCCTGGACCCTTCCTGTCCCTGGTCCCATGGCTTCCTCCAGGTCTCTCCTTGCATGGGTTAGGAACTAGCTCCAGAGTGGGGAGGCACTGCCCTCTCTGGGCTCAGCTGTTGGTACTACTGCCCCACCACCCACCAGTCATGGGGGAGGAGCTTCACTGAGCCCCCCTGTGGGAGTTCCTGTGTGGCCTCAGCCCCCTTCCACCCTTCAGACCCCTCCCAGCAGCCGGCCTGGCTGAATGCTAACAGGCTGGCAGGATTCAGTAGGCAGCCTGCTCTGCTCTTAGAGAGCGTTCTGATGGCCACCGGCCATGTTCAGGGCCGTCTCTGGCTGCTCACCATCCTAGCCCCTGCCCCTGGATGGTGACAGGCAGTTTAGGTTCTGTCACCTGTGGTCCAGCAGCTTCTTTTTTTTTTGCATTTATCTTCAGACAGAGGGGGAGGGAGAGAGAGAGGGAGAGAGAGAGAGAAACATCAATGTGAGAGAGACGCATTGACCGGCTGCAACTCACATGACCCTAACCGGGGCCGGGGACAAACTGCAACCAAGGTACATGCCCTTATCGGGAACCGAACCCGGGCCTCTCTGGACCGCAGGCTGACGCTCTAACCGCTGAGCCAAACCGGCCAGGGCCCAGCAGCTTCTTGAGGGAGGGCTGGGACTGGCCTTTACTTCTCTGTCTCCTACCCCTGCAAGATTCTGGCCACAGAGCGTGGTGTGATGTCGGAGCATGTCAACTGAAGAAGGAAGGGAAGCAGACCCCGAGCGGCGCATCGGGCGGCCCGGGCCGGGGTGGGCTTGCAGCCACACCGACCTCACGCAGACCGCAGATTTGGGTGGAAGCCACGTTCAAGGTGTAGGTCCACGCTGGTGATGGAAGCCTCAGGTGTGGACAGGGAGGTTCTCAGAGCCTCAGCTTCCTCACTGCAATTCGGGGCGCTGTCCCTTCCTGTCAGGGTGTTGCTGGGAGGATCAAATAAGACCAGAGTCTCCAAGGACTTTGCATCACACTTAGCATCACATCCACAGCCCCTCCTATGACTAGAAGGCCCTTCCCCTACTCTCCCCCCTTCCACACTGAGCCTCCCCCACACAGCCCTGCTGTTCCCTCTGCATGGAATGTCTTCCCAGATGCCCCTCCATCCCTCTGGTCCATATCTTGACCCCTGAGATGATGCTGTCCTCCCTTCTCCCTCATCCCTCTGCACCCTCTTCCTAACTTGTGTGAACTTTGCAGCATCGATCACTACCTGACTCTATGTTGATTGATTTCTCTACTCTTTGTCTCCCTCCCCTCTGAGAGGGCAGGGCTTTCTGTCTGTCTATCCCTAGCACCTAGATCAGGGCCCGGCACCCAGTGGGTGCTCAGCAAAGATTTGAGGAACCAGTGGATAGATGAATGGTCCAGAGAGGTGCTCACAGACCCCTAGGCAGGATGGGCCAGGGGAGTCGTGCCAGCCACTTGCCTCTCCTCCACTACCTGAGGACTCAGGACTCCTGCGCCAGCCTGGGCATCCCCTGCACTGCCAGGGATCGAGCCCAAGATGCAGCTGTGCCCAGGCTGAGGCGTCAAGGTCCAGATCGAAATCCACCTGATGCCACAGGGGCCATGCATTTCTCCAGTCTTGTCAAGTCGGCTGTTAAGTGACTCCCAGGCCCTGCCACTGGCTACTTCTTGGCTGAACCACAGCTGAACCATGTACAGACATTGCCAAACACACTTCCATTTCTGAGAAAACAGAGGTCAAGGGTTCCCCTCGGTTCTTGCTTACCCCATCCTCCTCCTCTTCCTGCAAACTTGAGTTACAGCTGCCCTGTCAGCAGGGAACCCCCAGAGATGCCTGAGTCAGATTCCAGTCCTGACACCAGCCCTTACCAGCTGCAAGAATCTGGGAGACCTCTAAACCCTGCCAAGCCTCCGTCTAGCATCTGTGAAGCACAGGTGTGCAAGCACCTGCCTCATCAGGATCAGTCAGGCCTTGGAGGTCCACTCCTCTGGGCAGGGTCACAGCATGTAGGAAGTGCCCAATAATAACAGCGACACCCAGAGCCACCACGGCAGTCTCTCACCTGAGCACTCCCCTGTGTTGTCTTATTTAACCTTCGCGCCAATCTAACTAGGAAGGCACCGTCTTAATTCCATTTCACTAGTGAGGAAACTGAGGCACAAGGAGGTGAAGTGACTCAGCTCACAGGCTGGGTAGGTGTTAGATTGGGGGTCTGACCCCAGAGCCTGCACTCTCGCCTGGGACCTCCACATCAGTACCTCTCTTGGATGGGGGCTGTCAGTAACTCTCAGGGCCTGTCCCGTGTGCCGGGGGCAGGACTCGGGCAGGAGCTGAATCATCTGAAGGCTGACTGCCGGAATGCCTTCAGGTGGTGCTCGCAGAAGCCCACTGAGAACAGTGCAAGTTGTTTGGATGTGATCCCAGGAATCACCTTTAGGGGAGTGGGGAGAAATGAGACAGGGGAAGGGGAGGAGCCAGTAGTGCAGGGGAGGCGGGTGCTTGTTGCAGCCCTTCTGTCTGTGTTGGGAGGTCTCCAGGGACTGAGAAGAGCCCCATCTGGGCTCCCCGCCCCAGCCCAAGCGCTGGGAACCAGAACACGCCCCACTGACGGCTCTCTGTGGCTGAAGAAGCCACAGGAAGTAGGCACGGAGCCTAGGCTGTTATCACAGGGGCCCCGGAGAAACCACATTACAGTCAGCACAGCCTTCACCATCCCGTGGCGATTTCTGCTGCTGCCTCTCCCAGGCAGCATCTCCTGCCAACCTGCGCCGGTGGTGGGCCGCCTGGTGTTGCTGCTACAGGGGAGGCTGGCAGCTGCTCCCAGAATGTGCAGCGGTGGGAGCCCCCTTCGTGTGCCCGTGGGCTGATGACTTCACAGCAGCAGGGCCTTCCTGTCTCCTCCTGACTCCCAGCCCGTGCACTCGCCGCCCCTTCCATCTGGAACTCCTTTCCAGTCCCTCTGCTCAGGTAACCCCCTCTCGCTTCAGTAGTCATGCCAATGTCCTCTCACGAAGGAAGGCCAGACTGGCCTCCTCCCTCAGGCTAGCCCAGGGCCCCTGCCGCCTCCGGTGTGACGCTCTTCCTCAGTAGCTCCGAGTCCAGTGGGTGAGGTGATATTTGCTCCTTTGCCTTCTTCCCTGACTCCCCCACTGCAAAACGCACCAGAGCACAAACTTCCGTTGCCTCTTGCCCAGACCCCATGGCCTAGCATAGGCACTAGCACAGAGTAGGTGCACAATAAATATTTGTTGAATAAATGAATTATTTGGAATAGTTGTCCTGGCTAACGCCCTGTTCTTCCAGTCCACAATTAAACGTCACCTTAACCAGGCAGCCTTCCCAGATTGCTTCCCTGATTCCTATTCTGGGTTTCTAGAATCTCCCCAATCTTTATCCACCTCACAAAAGCATTGCCTCATGGGTGTAGCAGCCCAATGATGCAGACCCCAGCTCTCCCCCCTCAATCGATCTTTTCCAGGAAGGGAATAGACTCGGTGAAAAGGAAAGAGGTGGTGCAGACTGTCTGGAAGGTTCAGTAGTGGGGGGGGGGTCTTGAAGACACCACCCCAGAGTGCTGGCACTCCCCTCCGATAGAGATATGAGAAAAGGCCTGTGGTGGTGGAGGAGGTGCTGGCAAGTAGCTGGACTGGGAGGAGCTGGAACAGGAGGACAAGGACCAAGTGGGGCATGGGGTGGGGACCTGGCATTTCCTAAAGCCAGCCCAGAAATGCCAGGGGCCAGATCTGGGGCAGATGAGAAGTGGGATGGGCCTGGGAGGGAGCTACACGTGCCGTGGTCTGCACACTCCTCTCCATGTGCCTCTCTGGGGCTCCGCGCGAGTCCCCAGCACCATGCTAGGGCTTTGTGATGGTCCGCATGCACCCTCGTAACCACCGGAGGTGCTGTTCGATCCCCACTTTAGGGAAGAAGAAACTGAGGCACCCAGCGGGCCAGTGCAATCACATTGCCTCCTGCATTTCCGACACTCTGCCAGGCCAGGCTGCTCCCTCCAAGTGTGTCCTCCCTCCCACCCCTTGTCAGGGCTGCGGCTGCTCCTAGCAGGGTTCCTGGGAGTGGGGAGGGACATGGAGATGGAGCCCAAAGGGGAGGTGGTCGCCTGACAGACCCCCAGCAACAGAGCAGAGCCCTGGCCTCCGGGCCAGCAGATGCCAACCCATCCTGCCAGGACAACACGGCCCGGCCTCCTGCAGTGCTATCTCCTCTGGCCCTGTGAGGACAGGGGCGGGGCACAGAAAGGCAGGCCCTGTCTCACTCTCACGACACAGTGAGACCATCAGCCCATTCCATGTGGGAGACTGAGGCCCCAAGAGGGACAGGAACTCTCATTCGGTCACGTACTCATTTACCCACTCCATCGATCGAGGAGTCAGAATCCATCATTGGCTGGACTCAGTCTGTCAAGTTCAAATCCTGCCTGCACTGCCTAGCATCTGTAAGACCTTTGGACAAGCTGCTTTGCTTCCCTGTGTGATGGGGATAAAGACACACTTGGCTCAGAGGATTGTGGTGAGAAACGAGTTCATCTGTGTCAGTTACTGTGCCTCGGCGCATACTATGTGCTCAATACATGTTGGTTATTACAGTAGAAATATGCTCAGGCCTCCCCCACCTTCAAACAAAAAAGTCTCTTTCCTTGACCTTTACCCTCTACTGACTCCTGCTCAGCCTCTCCTGTTCCCTCTTCTTCTGAATTCTGTCAAAAACCCATCTCTGTAAAGTTAAGAATGTGTTTGACTACAAAAAATAGAAAACAGATCACAGTGGCTTAGATAAATAGGAGTTTATTTGCCCCCATCACAATGAGCTCAGAAATCAGCTATGGCTGGCATCGTTTTACCAGGCCAAAGAGGTCGGGCCAGTGTCGCTGCAATTCTCTTGGCTTTTTCTTGTGGTTCGCAAAATGGTTGTACTGCTCCTGGTATTGCATCTGCACTTACATTTAAGACAGGAAGGAAGAGGAATGGTTACATTTAAGGTTAACTGAAAGCATTTGCCCCTTTTAATAATTTTTCATTATTGATTTGAGAGAGGAAGGGAGAGGGAGAGAGATAGAGACATCGATGAGAGAGAACATCGAATGGCCACCTCCTGCCCACAACCTGGGCATGTGCCCTGACTGGGAATTGAACTGACAACTTCTTGGTGCATGGGTCGACACTCAACCACTGAGCCACACCAGCCAGGCAGCAATGCCCCTTTTATCATGAGGGGAAATACTTTCCCAGAACCATCCCTACTCCCAGACTCCTGAGAACTAATTGGCCAGAACTGTGTTACATGACCACTACTAACTGCAAGGGAGACCGGTGAAGTGAGTCATTTCTCTTTTCCAGCCTCTAAAGTGGAAGGCAGCAGGGTAGAGGGGGATTGGAATGGCAGGGAGGTCAGCCAGCCAATGGTTTCTGTCACATCTTCTCCTCCCTCTCCCCCAACCACCCCACTCCCCTGCCATACCTGACCTCCTCCCTCATCCAACCCCATTTCCATTTCTCTTTGGAAATTGGAAGCTCTGATAGTTCTGGGCCTGTACTTCACAGGGCAACAATCTACTGGTACAGAGTAGGGCTGCCCCTTTAAGTAGGACATGACCATTTGCCTCAGTCTCCACCACTCCCTAATGTCTTATAGTTGATATTTACATTTCTTGCTTGGCCCTTGTTGGTGATGGAATTTGAACCCCTGAGTTAATATATTTATCCCCCTCCCCCCGCCACCCTCAGAGAGCACACAAAAATAACCCTAAGTATTTCATGGATGTACAGCAAAAAGTTTCCTTTCAACCACAGACCCCAGGCATTCAGTTCCCCTCTCTGAGGGTAAATAATGGAACCAATCACTTGTTTAAAACTTTAGAGATGCACATATAGGCAGATCTACCTATATTTTCTATCCTCCCACCCCTTTTTCAACTCAAATGTGAGTATACACTACACATTACTCTGCACTTGGCTTTTTTCTCTCCCATTTACAATTCCTAACACTAACTTGGAAATCAATTCCTATCAATCCACATGACTTCTTCATTTCCCATTCTGGCTGTGGAGCCTCCACTTCCTCCTTCACAGAGTGGGACTTCTCGTACCAACACCAGAGGACCAGTGCGAGAACTCCGAAGCTTTGGTTCACTAGGTCGCTGAGCCTTGGAGACCAGGTGAACGTGAAGAGAGCGTTTCTAGAACTGGGAGAGACGGGGGTACCTAAGGAGAGCCCGTGGAACGACAGCAGTGCTCTACCTGAACTGTTTTATCTAATCCTCACACAATTTTGTAAGGAAGGTGCTGTTATTAACCCATTCTACAGAAGGGGAAACCAAGGCACAGAGTAGCTCGGTGACTTGCCTGACTCAAACAGCAGAGAATGGTACAGTTGGGATTTTAACCCACAGCTGCCACTCTGGTACCAGTGCCCAGGCAGCTGGGCACCATCCCCTGACCCAAGGCTGACTGCCCACATCCAGCTGAGCTCCAGGGCTTAGCGGTTCCCAGGCTGAAGGAGGCACCTTCGTGGGCCCTCCAGGTCACTCTACCTGGGGGAGACATCTGGAACCACATATGTCTCTGTGCTCAGAGCAGGGCTGAGGTTTGGGGTCTCTTTGTTCCTGGTATGGGTTGGGGCACTCAACTGACCTTAGGGACAGAGACTCTGGAGCCAGACTCCTCAGTCCCAGCTCTTTGGCTTTGGATAAATCACCCCCTTCTTTGGGTCTCGGTCTCTTCACCTGCAAAAGGAGATCAGTAGTTGCTCATTACCCATGGTACTGTTGGGGGATTAATTGGTCTAATAAATATATTAATTACTTAGGAAAGTTTCTAGAATATAGAAACAGTAAAGAAAAAAAGGAGCCATTATTATTATTATTGCTGACAACATTATCCCTGGAATATGTTGCAGCAGGAAGTGGGAGGGGGACCCTGTGTGCCAATCCTTCCTGTAGACCTTGGACCCAGGACCTGGAAGGGGCTTCAGACCTTCCCCTAAAACCCATTCCATACCTGATGAGACCGAGGCTGGGGAGCGGCAGCCCGAGTCCAGGGTGAGTTCAAGGTAGTTGCCCCCCTGCCAGACCCTTAGTCTCCCATCCTGCCTGGCCCTGCCACCCTCGGTCCCCCGTCTCTGCTCTCAGGATGAGCTCCCCTCAGCCTCTCTGACACTGCAGGGACCACAGACCCTCCGGAGGTACAGGCCGTCCCCTGCCAGCCTTGACCTCCGACCTGCAGGGCCTCCAGGTGCTGATCCGTCTGTGACAGCAGTGTTTCTGCCCTCTTCACCCCTCCATGAGACACAGGAGGGACCCCATTGTCCAGACCCTCTGCTCAGATGGCCTCAGAGCAGGGTGGGAGGAGCTGGGGCAGGGGTGTGTGTGTGTGTGTGTGTGGGGGGGTGTTGACAGGCAGGCAACATTGTTCCCCACTCTCAAGTCAGAGTCATCAGCACTCAGGGAGGCTAAATGCTGATGCTCGCTGGACGTGCTGTGGGTATTGGACAGGGCTGTGGGGGCCGCCCTGCCTTGCCCTCTTTATCTCCTCCGGGGCCTGAAGACCCATCAAAGCCTGGGGTGCTCAGCTCGGGGTCGGGGGTGGGGAGCACTCGTGCGGCTTTGACCAGAGGGTCGCCTCCTGCCCAAGTTGTACTTAACCAGTCCTGGAGACCTGCTGGGCTTTCCCTGGTCCCTCCAGCAAACCCCTTACCCTCCCGCCCATCTCCAACTGCACCCCCTCACTGGTTTTTCAGAATCCAGCTCAAGTACCATTTGGGTAGCCTGCTCACCTTGCTTCCCTCCCTAGGCTGTCAAAGGTCTTCCAATGGGCTCCCGTAGCCTCCTCTGGCCTGGGTCTCCCCATCCGGCTCCCACCCCGGCCCAGTGCGGACCCTCTGATCCTATTCCTTCCAGGGTTCAGCCCGCCCGGCTGCGGTTCGCGCGTCCGCAGCGCCCTCTTCCGGAGACTCCTAGATCGCCCAGCAGGGTGCGGCCGCCTGAGACCCAGCCCTGCCCGGGGCTCCGCCCTTCAGGGCTCTGAGGGTCCAGACCGGGAGAGCAAAGGAGGCTGGAAACCTGGGGAAAGCGTCTGCGGGGTCTCAGCCTTGGGACCACAGGTCTTGTCCAAATCCTTATCCTGCCTTCTCTTCTCCATGTAACCTCAAATCGCCTTCCCTCTCTGAGCCTCATTTTCCACTTCAGCAAAATGTATTCCCCAGCTACTTCCTGAGCTCCTGCGGTGTGCTAGGCACTGGGCAGGGCACTGGGACTACAGCAGTGACAAGGGTGAGCAAAGTCACTACCTCAGGAAGCAGGCACGGAGGGGACAGGCAACAAACAAATACATAAAAGTATAATGTCAGTTCCACTACACAGCGTGAGTGATGTAAAGAAACAAGCTGGGAGCCCCATGCCTGTTCTTAAGTGGCCACAGCCCTGGTGCTGGAAGCAACCAGCCTTGGTTCACAACTCGGCTTTTCCTGGGCACCTCCAAGCCCAGCACAAGAAGCAGCCATCAGCAGATCACTCTGTAGCTTATGCCAGTGGCCCCAGATAGAGAACACAGGCAGTGGCTGACCTTGCCCCAGAGCCAGCACACCCAGTGGACAGCTTCACACCACACCAAAGCACCACCACCCAACCACCTCCACAAGTGACACACTCAGTGAGCAGACTCAGTGGTACCAGAGCCTGGATGAAGTAAGTCTTGCTCTGTGTGGTGGGCCCCTGCACAGCTGATCCTCCAAGGTAGTCAGAGGCCAGTGGTCAGTGGGCACAGCCAGTCCTTGCAGCTGATCAGCCTGAGTAAATCCCTCCCATTGACGTGCCAACAGCAGTCAAGACTCAATTACAACAGAAGGGTGTACAATCCACACGAGGGGTGCACCTCGAGGGCCCAGCTGGGGTGATCAGGGATGTTGTGCCACTGGATCCTACAGAACACCTGCAATAATAGGTCATCCTACAAAGCCTAGGAGATATAGCAATTTTACCTAATACATAGAAACAATCACAGGGAAGCAGCCAAAATGAAGAGACAAAGAAACATATCCCAAATGAAAGAAAAGAACAAAACTCCAGGAAAAGAATTAAACAAAACGGAGATAAGCAATCAATCAGATGCAGAGTTCAAAACACTGGTTATAAGGTTGCTCAAGGAATTTGGTGAGACCTTCAAGGAACTTAGTGAGAACATCAATAACATAAAATGGACCAGTCAGAAATGAAGGATGCACTAACTAAAATAAAGAATAATTTACAGGGAATGAATAGTAGAGTAGGTAAAACCAAGAAGCAAACTATCGATTTGGAATATAAGGAAGCAAAAAACACCCAACCAGAACAGCAAAAAGAAAAAAGAATCCAAAAAAAATGAGGATAGTGTAAGGAGCCTCTGGGACAACTTCAAGTGTGCCAACATTCATATCATAGGGGTGCCAGAAGGAGAAGAGAGAAAACAAGAAATTGAAAACCTATTTGAAACAATAATGACAGAAAATGTCCCTAACTTGGTAAAGAAAACAGACATACAAGTCCAGGAAGCACAGAGAGTCCCAAGCAAGATGAACCCAAAGAGGTCCACACCAAGACACATCATCATCTAAATTTCAAAGGTTAAATACAAAGAGAAAATCTTAAAAGCAGCAAGAGAAAAGCAGTTTGTTACCTACAAAGGAGCTCCCACAAGACTGTCAGCTGATTTCTCAAAAGAAACTTTGCAGGCCAGAAAGGAGTGGGCAAGAGATATTCAAGGCGATGAAAAGCAACGATCTACAGCCAAGATTACGCTATCCTACAAAGATATCATTTAGAATCAGTGCACAAAAAAGAGTTTCCCAGACAAGAAAAAGCTAAAGGAGGTCATCACCATCAAACCAGTATCATATAAAATGTTGAAGGGTCTTCTTGAAGGAGAACAAAAAAAATATGAACAATAAAATGGCAATAAACACATATCTATCAACAATGGAATTTACAAACAAAATGAACAAGCAGAACAAAAACAGACTCATAGATACAGAGAACTTTTTGTTGCTTGCCGGCTTGGTGGGGACTGGGGGCTGGGTGAAATGATGAGGGAATTAAGAAGTACAAATTTGTTGTTAGACTGACAAACCTCAAAGGGAAGAGGGGAGAGAGGGGGGGATGAGATAAACCAAAGAACATCTATGCACATATGCATAACCATTGGACACCGACAACAGTGTGGGAAGGAAGGAGGGAGGAGGAAGTGAGGAGGAGGGCATCAACGGGGAAAAAAGGGGGGTATATCTGTAATACATTCAACAATAAAGATGAATTTTTTTAAAAAAGAAATAAGCTGGGAGGGGACCAGGCAAGCCTTTGTTTCAAAGGTGACACTTTGTTTTTGTATTTTTTTTTCTTTTATTGATTTCAGAGAGAGGAAGTGAGAGGGAGAGAGACTGAAACATCAAAAAGAGAGAACATCAACTGGCTGCCTCCTGCATGCCCCTCACTGGGGATCGGGCCCACAACCTGGGCATGTGCCCTGACTGGGAATCGAACCGGCAGCCTCTTTGTGCATGGGTCAATGCTCAACCAGTGAGCCACAGAGGCCAGACCTGAGGTGACACGCTGGGTAAGGGACTGGGGCAGTGTCCACACACTAGGCTGTCGTGGGATTGCATAGGGTGTCCATGCAACACACTGCCCCTCACTCCTCCGTGGTCTCCCCTCCCTGTTTCCCAGAGGCTGCCTTGACTGGTTCCGCCTCCTCTCTCTGGCCTGTTCATGTCAGGGCGCCCCGGGCTTACCCTGGGCCTTTTCGGTGTTTTCACTAACTCCGGGGGTGGCCTCAACCTAGAAGCTCTAAACACCAGCTCTGCCCTGAAGATTCCTAAAATGTCTCCACACCTGCTTTCTCACCTAAACTCCAGGCCCATGCTCCAACATCCCCACCTCTGAAAACAAGCTCCCTGTCTCTTCCAGACCCCTCCCGTCTCTGTCTTCTCCATCTCTGTACACCCCTCCTGTCAACTGCTAAGGGCAAGAGATCTCTCTCTCACTCTCCGCATCTGATCTGCCAGCAAATCCTGTCAGCGACCTCTGGAGTATCCTTGGACTCGGACCCACAGCCCACCCTCCTCCGGGCCTCTGACACAGCTAACCTGGACTAGGGCAGCTGTCTCCTCCACCTATGCCCCCAGTCTGAACCTCCCCCCTAACCCCAGTCTCTCCTCTGCTCAGCACCCTCTGAGCTCCCAGCTCACTCACAACCTTGTCATGGTCTGTAGAGCGACCTCAGGGCACAGCCAGGCTTTGCAGGGCCTGCAGCTTCTGTGATGTAGGGTGTCCATGCCCCTTATAAAAAAGTGAAACCTTACAAATACAAGGGGTGAAGGGGAGTCAGAATGGAAGACAGTGGTCTTAACCAATTCCAAGTAAGATAGCTTGCTTGTCTGTTACGACCACTTTGGGAAACAGCCTGGCAGTGCCCAGTGCCCATGGCCACCCTGAGAGCCAGCAGTTCCGCTGTGGCAACATCCGTGGCATGTGCAGGTGTGTGCACCAAGGCGCAAATTCTGGAGTGTTTGCAGGACTGTTCATAGGAACCCAGACGGGATCAGCAGAGGGTAGAAGGTGAGCGATGCCTCTTCATACACAGATGACACAGCAGCAAGAGCAAGGGATGTCCAGCAAGTGGACAAGTGCACAGTGTGATCCACTCACGTGACGTCCAAAACCAGACATGTGCGCCCGTGTCGTGAGAGGTCAGGAGTGGTGCTCACGCTGTGACGTGCCCGCTGGAGGCAGCAGTAGGCTGTCAGAGGACTGGTCGAGTCTGTCTCTGGGGCGGTGCTGGCCCCTCTGTGAAAGCTCACGGGGCTGTGTGCTTATGGCGTCTGCCCTTTCTGTGTGCATATTACACACCACTAGGAACGTTTTCTAAGAGGATAAAATGAGTGCGTATAGTGAGTTAACAAAACATTATGAAATGAAATGGAACACACTGCATCTCAATAACTGACCTGTTTCTTGAAAATGTTTAAATATGCCCTGGCAGGTTTGGCTCAGCGGTTAGTGTTGGCCAGCGGACCAGAGTCCCGGGTTCGGTTCCCGCTAGGGCACGTACCTCGGCTGCAGTTTGTCCCTGGCTCTGGTTGGGCCGTGTGGGTGGCAGCCACTCGATGTGTCTCTCTCACGTTGATGTTTCTCTCTCTCTTTCTCGCTCTATCGGAAAAAAAAAAAAAAAAAGAAAGAAAAGAAGAGAAAAGAAGAGAAAGAAAGAAAAAGAAAATGTTTAAATTGACTTTCTCCTGGTTTGATATAAACCACGTGGAGTTTCAGAAAAGGCACTTAACTTACTTTGGCACATTTTACAAAATCATGTGACCATGCGAGGTCCCTGCCAGCGCCTCGGACGACCTGGGCAGGTGGGGGCTGTGGCTTAAGCTTTTGTGCTTCTTAGTGAATACGCCCCACTCCCCAGCCCTGCCACCTCCCGGCCTCATCTCCCCCCCCTCCCCTCACCCTGCTCCAGCCACACTGGCCCCTCGCTCTCTGCAGACTCCGGCACAGTCTTTCCCCGAAGCCGCTGCACCTGCTCGTCTTCCCCAGCAATCCTTACGCCTCCCTCACCTCCTTCGGGTTTCTGCTGGCGAGGCCTTTTCTCGCTGCCCTATTTAAGGTCATACCCTTCCCTCCTCCTCACCTCTCTCTGCTTTACATTTCTCCATGGCACTCATCGTCACCTGCAAAGCTCCACATCTGACTAATTGTGTCGTCTGTCTGCCCCATGAGAAGATAACCCTGTGAGTACCAGGAATCTGTCATCGAAACAGGGCTGTGCAGACAGCAGGTACACAGTGAATGCTGGTTTGTAGATTTCTGAGCTGGCCACTGGCCGGTCCCAGGCCTGGCAAGGT